GTGTCCCTGTCCTCACCCAGGCCTGTTCTGAAACCACCCAGAAGACCATGACCCCAAGGACGGTGCTATGTTTAGGGCTGAGAGGGCCGTGCAGGGACAGACGGCCAGTGATGGAGGGTGGAGGGGAAGAGGGCTGGAGAGAAACCTCAGAATCCAGAGAACTGGGAATGGCTCCGCCCATGGAAAACAGGCAACCGGGGCCCAGCAGGTGGGAATGTGGGGTTCGGGGTACCTGGGCTCACGCAAACAGAGGCCAGGGTGGACGTTCCCACGGGGGGAGGGACAGAGAAGTTTCTCCCTAGGAAAGTTATGATTTAAAAAGAGTCACGGCCGAAACCGGTTTGGCTTAGTGGATAGAGCGTCGGCCTGCGGACTGAAAGGTCCCAGGTTCGATTCCGGTCAAGGGCATGTACCTGGGTTGCGGGCACATCCCCAGTAGGAGATGTGCAGGAGGCAGCTGATCGATGTTTCTCTCTCATCGATGTTTCTGGCTCTCTATCTCTCGCCCTTCCTCTCTGTAAAAAATCAATAAAATATATTAAAAAAAAAAAAAGAGTCACTATTGCCTGCCGCCCCCATGTGGCTCAGTGGTTGAGCGTTGACCTATGAACCAGGAAGTCACGGTTTGATTCCCGGGGTCAGGACACATGCCCGAGGTTTCGGGCTTGATCCCCCGTAGGGTGTATAGGAGGCAGCTGATCCATGATTATCTCTCATCATTGCTGTTTCAATCTCTCTCTCCCTCTCCCTTCCTCTCTGAAATCAGTAAGAATGTTTAAAAAGAAAAAATATATGAGTACACTAATATACACACTTGTCTATCTATCCATTTGTATGTATCATAAAATCTGGAATTTATACTGATCCTTTTTTTTTTTGCAGATTGATAACTTTATTTGACCATCAGCAGTTAGTTCTCAGCCACGTGAGCTGTGTAGATTTTTGGAAGTGGTGGCAGGTACATCGGTGACCAACATACAGAGCTGGTTTGGGGAATCTTCATCCTCATCTCGTTTTCTGGACAACGGCACCTGGGTGCCGAACGGGACCTTTCTTACTCCTTTGGCCCGGGCAGCTTTGTTGAGTCCGGTGTCAGTGCGCCCGCCTGGGGTTCCCATCTCCTTGAGGGCAAATCCGGGTTCTCCGAGTCCCGCTGGGCACACTTCCTGACCCCCACTCCCGGATGCGCGTGTGCGTGGAGATGGCGTGTCCTGTGCTCGCCGCCTCGCGGACGGCACAACAGCCCGTCTTCCTCTCGCCAGGCCGCCTTTGGGAGCCTCTGCCGGGCCCGGGTTGGAAAGAAAGGAGCCGTCCTGATACCTTTCAATCCATTCCACACCTCACCGTGTAGTCGAACTTCCCTCTTTCCTTATTTGTGATTTTTTCTCCCAGGATGAGAAGCGTGGCTCTGTCTCCGTGATACTTTTGTTGATTTGTTCATCCCGTGTAGACACACAGTCATTTCAGAACGGTTACTCGCAGAATGAGGGATTGGGATTCAGAACTTTTTGGGACTCTACTTTTTTTTTGTACTTGACCCTTTCAGACTCAAGACCCAGGTTTTTAAAAGCATTTACCACCCTTGTTAATTCTTTAAAAGGAAAATATAAGTGAAGTAAGTTGTTTAAGGTATCCTAAAGCCCCCTCACGTGGTGAGTGGGGGGGTCTGAATTCCTCTGTCTGGAGGTCGCTGCCGCCTGTGTTTTTCCACGCAATCCCGGCTCCTCTGACACCAAGACCTTTCGCTGTGAAGCATTTCCGGAGAGTCGCCCCTACTGTGCGCTTCTTCAGGATTCCCATGGTGTGGCTTCTTCAGAACCCCAGCACTGGCCACTTCCCCCTACACATCTGCTACTTTTCTGTTTTTAAAAAATAAAACTTGGTCCTAAGTGGTTTGGCTCAGTGGATAGAGCATTAGCCTGCGGACTGAAGGGTCCCAGGTTCGATTCTGGTCAAGGGCATGTACCTTGGTTGTGGGCACATACCCAGTAGGGGATGTGTAGGAGGCAGCTGATCGATGTTTCTCTCTCATTGATGTTTCTAACTCTCTATTCCTCTCCCTTCCCCTCTGTAAAAAAATCAATAAAATATATTTAAATAAAAAAATAAAACTTGAATTTCATGTAATATACGCTCACTGGAAAAATCAGAAAAGCAAAAAGAAGTGAAAAGCACATAGAATCCTATGAACCAGAGAAAACCACTGTTAACATTTTTTTTTATTATCTTCTTTGACTCCTTTTCCAGTGCTAATCTATACACTGAAAAAGATGAAAAACAAAACACGTTTTTAAAAATATATATTTTTTATTGGTTTTTACAGAAAGGAAGGGAGAGGGATAGAGAGTTAGAACATCGATCAGCTGCCTTCTGCACACCCCCTACTGGGGATCAAGCCTGCAACCAAGGTACATACCCTTGATGGGAATTGAACTCGGGACCCTTCAGTTTGTGGGCCAAAACTCTATCCACTGAACCAAACCGGTTATGGCAACAAGACACTGTTTGGAAACATCGTTTAGACCCTGGCTCACATTCCAGCCGCTGCTTGCCATCTGTGTGACTTTTAGCCAGTTGCTTAACCTCTCTGTGCCTCACTTTCCTTATCTGAAAAAGGAGGAAATGATAGCATACACCTCACAGGTGGCTATGATGGTGAGTGACTATATAGAAAGCACTCCGGACTGTGCCTGGCACATGGCAGACGCCATGTAAGCGCGAGCTGTCACCACCATCATTACGACATTATTATTACATAAGGGGACATCTGTTCAGGTGAATAAATAACTTTGGCAGCAAAATTCGCAGCTGCCTGGGGTTCCCTGAGGTGAACGCACGGGAATCTACAGGGCGGCCCAAAAAACGCATACACACTGTAACAGCGGCTAGCTCAATCCTGAAAAGGAAGTGTACTTTAATAGACACTGCCTTTATAATTGTTCAGAGTGTGTGTACACATTTTGGGGGGACACCCTATATTTAACCTCCTCTCGGAGGTTATTATTTCCAGTTTTTCTTTTTCTTCTATTAACTACAGGGTAGCCATTCTTGAACAAATACCCCCCCCCCTCTCTCTCTCTCTCTATATATATATATATACCTCTAAAAAATATATAAACACCTTAATATATATTTTTTATTGATTTCAGAGAGGAAGGGAAAGGGAGAGAGATAGAAATATCAATGATGAGAGAGAATCATTGATCAGTTGCCTCCTGCTCACCCCCTACTGGGAATGGAGCCCACAACCCGGGCATGTGCCCTGACCGGGAATCGAACCGTGACCTCCTGGTTCATAGCTCGACCCTCAACCACTTTATTTGTTCCTAAAAATCTAACTGCTGAGACACAGACCACACATTTGTAAAGAGGGGAGACGAAGCCCGAGAGGTGCCCCCCCACCCCGGGGCTCAGCCCCAGCCGGGTGTGTCACCCGTGCTATCTCAGCGAGCCACTCCACCTCTCCCAGGGAGGGCTCAACAGTTCCACAGGGAAGACGAGGAAACTGAAGTCAGAGAGGTGAAGGCACCTGTCTGACACCACACAGGTGGCCAGCGGTGGGCTGGGGCTTGAACCCAGATCTGTGGGAGGGGGACGGGGACAGGAGGGAGCTGAAGGGGGGAGTGTGGGGGGGAGGGGAAGCTGCAAAAACCACAGACAGGACTGAGGAGATGCCCTGACTCCCAGGGCAACTGCGGTCAATGACAGGGGTGGCTTATCCTCTCTGTGCCTCCTTCTCCTCATCTGTAAAAAGGAGGAAATAATAGACACACCTCGCAGGTTGTTATGAGGGCGTAGAGCAGTGGTTCTCAACCTTCCTAACGCCGCGACCCTTTCATACAGTTCCTCATGTTGTGGTGACCCCCAACCATAAAATTATTTTCGTTGCTACTTCGTAACTGTCATGTTGCTACTGTGATGAATCGTAATGTAAATATCTGATATGCAGGATGTATTTTTATTGTTACAAATTGAACATCATTAAAGCATAGTGATTAATCACAAAAACAACATGTAATTATATAAGTGTTTTCCGATGGTCTTAGGCGACCCCTGTGAAAGGGTCGTTCGACCCCAAAAGGGTCGCGACCCACAGGTTGAGAACCGCTGGCGTAGAGAGTCTGCTGGAATCTGTCTGATGGGGGAGGAAGGGCCCTGAGCCCTGTACCCAGAAAATGAGGGTCCCCACACTGAAGGGCACCCCAAAGCCTGGCGCCCCACTGGAGCCCTGCACAGCCTTCTGAGAGCACCACCCCCCTCCCCCCCAGCCCTTTGCGGCTGGGAGAGCAGGAGGGGGACCCAGGAGTTCAGTCCCGCATGCAAGGCTCCCAAAACCCATGCGGCTGGAAACACTTCCCCTCGGGGATTAGCAAGCTGGGCAGCCAGGGCTGCACCCCCGCTACCCCCTTACCGCCACCCCCCCCCACCGCTTTTAAAAATATTTTTATTGATTTCAGAGAGGAAGGGAGAGGGTGAGGGAGATAGAAACATCAATGATGACAGAGAATCACTGATTGACTGCCTCCTGCACGCCCCCTCCTGGAAATCTAACCCAGACCAGCTGGTTTGGTTCATAGGTCGATGCTCAACCACTGAGCCATGCTGGCCGGGCCGGGCCGCTCCCTGTGAAACCAGGTGGGCAGGCCTGCCTCAGGTGAGCTCCATACGGAAAAACGGGCAAGGGACTGGAAGGAGTGCCGGCCCCGTGGCTAACTGGGCTCAGATGGGGCACCTCTGAGGACCTGGCAGTTTCCAAAACAGCCCCCCAGCGCCCCCTGCCTGTGAGCCGGCCCGGGACAGGAGCACCAGTCCCTGCTGCTTAACGGGCATTCGCGGACCCCTCGGTGCGCGGGCCGAAGCTCTCTCCACTGAGCCACACCGGCTAGGGCGGGGCTCACGGCCCGAACCCTCCCCCAGCGCCCCGCCCCTCGCTCCCCCGGCCTCCAGCCTCCACTCCGTCCCCCCGACCCCCCCCCCCCCCCCCCCCAGTCCAAGCCGCTCTCACACCCCGGGCCTCTGCATCCGCGGCTCCCTCCAGCCTGCAGCCTGCAACGCCACCTCCCGCTCCGGGAATAGAAAAAGCCTGCCGTTCAGGGTCCAGTTCAAACACTGCCACGTGCTCCGATCTCTCCACTTGTCTCGCCCCCGCGCGGGCTCCCGCCTGCTTCCGGCGCACCCCACGCCGCGGCCCCTGCCCTCTCCCCGCAGGGCCCTTCGCTCCGCTCTCCTGCGCCCGCGAGGACGCGACCAGACCTCCCGGGGCCGAGGAATTTACTGGAAGCCTCTGTCCGTCCGGAGGCAGCGATGGAGCGCCTCCCCCTCCAGGCGGTGGGATCCGCACCGGCTCCCTTTCCTCTCCGCTCCCCGGCCCCGGCCCCGTCTCTCCACAGCCCCCCACCAGGGGCCGCCTGTGCCTGGGAGAGCGTGTCCCACCTTCGGCCCCGGCCCCCGGCCCCCGGCCTCCCCTTCCGCCTCCCGCTCCGGGCACACCCAGTGTCCTCTGGGGACCTCCGGCCACAGCGCCCTGCCTGTGGCTTCCAGCCCCCAGAGGGGCTCCCACCTGGCTCCCCACTTCCCAGGCGCTGGGCTCTCCTCCCGGCAGAAAACTTCTCCCAGAGGAGCGCAGGCTGTCGCCGGGAGCAGGGAGCAGAGGCCGCGGTCGGGAGCCCCTGTCTCTGGGGACCGAGCGACACTGACTTCAGGGACCCGACTCGAGCTCGGCCCCTCGGAGACGCGAGGGGGCCGCCCCCGCCCCGCGCTCCGGCCGTGCGCTCCACCCGCCGGGGCCGGGGCCGAGGGCAGAGCCGGGCGGGGCCGGGCGCCGCGCAGGACCGGGACGCGCGCGGGCTGGGACTCCGCTGGCTCCGCTCCCCCGCCTCCCGCTCCCACCAGAGCCGCCAGCCCCGGGCGCCGCGCCCCTCTCCAACCGGACGGCGGCGGGCGCGGGGCCGGGTACCTGTCAGCAGTTCGATCCTGTGTCCCCGCAGCTTCATCGCGGCGCCCAGCGCGGCCGGCTCCGGGAGAGGATGGCGGGCGGCGCGGAGCCCAGGAGCCCGGGAGCGCGAGCGCCGCGGAGCAGCCGCCGAGCCAGGAGCGCTCTCGCCGCCCCCTCCGCGCGCTCCCCCCTAAAACGCTGGTACGAATCCACCAATGGGACGGCCGCGCACCCCTCCGCGGCGCCCGCCGCCACCTGGTCGGGGTGAAGCCCGGGAGGCGGGGGGGTGGGGGGCGCGGGGGGCGCGGGGTGGGTGCGGCGACAGGAGGGGCCCGTGCGCCCGCCGGGAACAAAGAGGCCCCGCCACCGGGTGTGGAGGTGGGGGAGGCGCGGGCGGCGGCCGGATCGTGGCCCCGCGGGTCCCCGCGTCTGGCTGGGAAGAGGAGGGAGAGCCCGGGGCGGAGGAGAGGGTGCGGCCCTCGCGCCGGCGACGGGGTGCCCGGCTCGCAGGGATGGGTCGCGCGCGGAGGCTCGGCCGCGGCCGCAAGGACAGGGGGACCCGGGGACCAGGGGAAAGGGCCGAGGGCGGCGCCAACTCACCGAGGGCGATGCGAGCGAGACGGACGCGCAGGCGGGGACAGGACCTGGCCGCCGCCGCCGCCGCCGCCGCGCGGGTGCAGGTGTCCGCGCCCGGGTCCCTCCCCGCGCGCCGCAGCTGGTGGCGGAGGCCGGGCGGGGGGCGGGGGGCGGCGCGGGGGGCGTGCCACGTGGGTGTGGTGGGCGTGGGCGCTCCGCCCGCGGGCGTGGGTTGGCCCCGGGAGGCCGTCCCGGGCGCTCAGCACTGCCTCCCGCCGCGGTGGGAGTGTCCCCGGGTGGATGGCTGGCGGGCGGCCGAGACCCCGCGACGTGGAATTCTAGCCTCCGCCCCTCCCCTCCCCTCCCCTATCGCTCCTCAACCCCCGCAGGCGCCGGGGGGAAGGGTCCCCACCTCTCGGACTCCACCGGGTGCGGAGGGAGGCCCCGCCCGTCCCCCCGATCTTATTGCAGCAGCGCGGCGTGGGGTTCCCGGGGGAGGGGGGCGACCTCCGCCTCAGTCTTTGTTTAGATGACCAGGGGGAACCCCAGCTCGGAGGAGGCAGCACCCCTCCCCACCCGTTCCGCTGCCAGGGCACCGCTGAGCAAGGCCCTGGGGGGTCAGGAAGAACCGGGTGCTCTGGGGCCTTGGGTCCTGTCACCGGTCTCAGAGCCCGAGGTTCCCTGGGGGACTCCTGCGGGAGGGACCACCCTCCCCCACCGGGTGGCAAGGTCATTGCTCCCCTCAGTTCACCTCCACCTTCTGGGAGACCCCTGCCTTCCTCAGCTCACTGTGTCTAGCCCAGGGCGTGGTTCCCACCAAGTCCCTGGGTCACGCCTCCTGCAGGCAGAATGGAAATCATGACCTGGAAACATCTCCTTGGGCAAGACAACTCCACGAGAGGGCTCCTGGGCCGGGTTCTAGTCAGGCCCTGCCTGTGACCTTGGGCCGGGCTCTGCCCCTCCCAGATTCAGCCCTTTGGTGTAGATTGAATGGATTAGACCGTCGTCTGGGGGGTCCTGATGGCAATGGGGTGGGAGGTCAAGAGCATTCTGCAGTGCCCCCCCTGACCCCTTCTACCTGGGCTGGTTTGTGAAGCCACGGCAGCTGCTCTGAGTGACCCCAATCACCAGTGCTGACTGAGGAAGCTGCTAGGTTTGGTGTCCTCAGATGGGGTGCACGGTCCTGCTGGAGGTGCAGAACATAAACTATAGGAGGCAGCAAGCTGGGGTTCTCCTTACAGCTCTGGGGGCTCACCTTGGGGATAGATGGCCTTGCCTCCCCATTTCCTCTTTTGTAAAAGGGGGTGGGAGGGAGTCCCTGGGGACAGAGTGAACTCCGATGTCCAAAACATCCAGGAGACTGTGTGTGTGTGTATACAAGTGTGGAGCCAGCCCTTGAGGACACAGGCTGGTTCTACAGTTTCCTGGCTGAGTGGTGGCGGGTGACTGAGCCTCTCTGAGCCTCCATGCACACTGGGTGAAACGGGATGATGCCGACCTCAGAGGGCTCCCCTAAGGATGAAATGATGGAGCATAAAACGCTCAGTATAGTGCCAGGCACACGGTTGAAATGTTCAGTAAACAGTCATCTTTATTATTTTTTAAAAAAAAAATGTTTGTATTGATTGATTGGAGAGAGATTTGTTGCCACTTGCTTCTGCATTCATTGGTTGCCCTGACCGGAGACCGGACCCGCGACCTTGGTGTAGTGGGATTGCCTTCATTATTGAACATGAAGCTGTTATTGCATTAGAGACTCTGTCAGGCTTTCCTCAGTTCTACCCTTTTCAGTAACTTCAGGCCTAGTCATTGAACAAACAAATTACTGATGTTCTAGCGACAGAATCCACGAGGTGCAGCCTGTTCTGAACGCCTCAGAGGAATCCAGGCCCCAGGAGGGTGCATGAAGCTGCCTAACAAGAGCTTTGAAACCATGACTCATCTGTCCACGTGTGGGATGGCGTCTGCCATGGCCTTGACCTAATGCAGAGAATCCGCTTGGCTCAGATAATCCACGAATCCAAGGGAGCGTTCAGGAGGGTTAGGTTGTAGATTTGCACCCTAAAAGTGGAGACAGTAGATGATGGGGAAATGTGGTTGTAAGGACACCCCGCTTCCGGGGGCTGCTGCGAAAAAAAAAAAAAAGGTGCTCAGGGGAGAGGCAGGTAGAGGGGCCCTGGCCCCTTGTGGAGGATCTGTCAGGCCTGGCAATGCGGGGTCCCCTAGGAATGATGGAAGGCAAGCTCTCAGCCCCTCCTGCTACAGGCTCCTCACCCCTGCGAGGGGGGCATGGTGTTTGGGGACAGGCTGGAGGGCAGGGTTTTTAACAGAGGGAAGCAGAGCGCAACCCCGGGTCAAGCTGTTGGCGGGGGTGGGGGCCCCTCAGACGTGCCCTCCAGCCTTGCTCCTGATGACCTGAAAGATGCTGCCCAGCTCACTGCCTCCTCTGTACTTGCCTTTTCCCGTCTGTGAAACGGGCAGGTTGGCCTGCATGGCAGCTGGAGAGGAGACTGCCTTTCTGAAGATCTCTCGGAACCTCCTTTCCTCATGGGGGAACTCGGGCTAACTTACCGCCAGTCGGGACGGTTGCAGGAAACAGTGGACCTACGCTGGCTAGTTTAAGCAGAAAAGGGGCTTCGTTAAAAGAGGGTGCAGCTCTCGGGACCTCAGGAGTCACACCCAACACTGCAGCCTTGATCTGGTGTCAAAACTGCCGCCGCCCCGGGGCACAGACCTGCAGCCGCCGCCGCCCCTGGGCAAGGACACAGGGGCACCGCCATCGGGCCCACAGCTGCCTCTGGAGCCCGAGGGGGTGTGGCTGCCACCGCTGCCACCTCGCCACAGTGGATTCCACGTGGCCTTGTGTCACCAGCTTCCAATTCACAGTCAAAAATGGGCGTGTCTGCATTGGAGACAACTTGGGTGGATCTTGAGAGTATTATGCTAAGTGAACTCAATCAGACGGGAAAGGGCAAGACCCCTGTGATTTCACTCCTCTGCGGGCGCTAACACAAAAACAACACAGGAGCAAACAAAAAACAAACTCATACACACAGACCACAGAGTGGTGGATACCGGAGGGGGGGTGGGGGGGGAGGGAGGGAAAGGTAAAGGGGGTCACACATATGGTGACAGAAGGAGGCTAGGCTTCCGGTGGGGAGCACACAGTTGAGTATACAGATGTTGTCCTGGAAAGTCATACACCTGAAATTTATGTTATTAACCAATGTTACCCCAATAAATTTAATTAAAAAAGAAAAAGAATGGGTGTGTCTGATTAGAGATCAGGTACTCTGCCAAAGCTGCAAGGGAGGCAGGGCAAAGGTGTTCTCAGCTCCTCTGGCGGGAGGCGGGCTCCGCCCCGGGAAGGGCCTATCAGATGCTGGTGGCCAAGAGAGTGACCAGCACCCACCCCAGAAAGCAATGGACTTGGGAAACTGCTATGAGATTTCACACAGGGGCACTCAACTCGGGGCCTGGCGCGGAGGGAACACATGACCACTGGTCGCCGAGGTTCCTGCCGCACCACGAATCCAGCGTCCTGCCGCACCACGAATCCAGCGTCAGCCGGCCGTGCTGCTTCATACTTCAGTCTGTTTTGTTTTGTTTTTTTTCAGCAGGTGAAAGACAAAAGGACCTTGAAAACAGTATGGCAGGCTGCCCATCCAGATGCAGAGGGCTCCGGTCCCAGCGCCGGGAGGACAGGTGACTGGGTTTTTCCATCGGGCTGATGAATTGGCTGAGTCACCCTCCCTCTCCAGTCCCCTCGTGACCACGACTGAGAGCAAATAAAAAGGGACTCGCAGGTGGGGTCGAGGTGCAGATGAGCCGTGGAAGCTTCCTCTCATAGCAGGGGAGGGGAGGGCAGGCACCGTCCCCCTCCCCAGTAACACTCCCCACTCACTAATCATGAGTCACAGGGCCCCAGGGAGAGAAGAGTGGATCCTTCCTCATCTTTTATCAGAGCGGCTGAGTGCCTCTGGGGTGTCCAGCCCTACCGTGCTGTGGGGTGCACTGGGGAACTGCAGCTGACCAGGGCATGACCTTGGGTTTATGCCTGGATGAAGGAAACCAGTTTAGAGTCCCATAATGCAGGTGTGGGGCGGGCTCTGCTAATACGTGTGATTGAGGTTCTGGGGGGAGGGGAAGGTGGGTGTGTCAGCAAGGGCCTCCTGGAGGAAGAGCTCGCAGAGAGGGGTGGCAGGTCAATAAAGTCAGTAGATGGAGATGGGAAAGGGATGACTGGGGGAGAGTACCATCCATCCATCCATCCATCCATCGATCCATCCATCCATCATGCATTGGGTCAGCCAGACCCTGTGCTGAGCTCAGGGAGGCGCAGAGCTGAGCTGTTGCAGCCCTGCCAGGGGCTCCCGGAAGGAGGTGGAGCAGATGGTGAGGAAGCTGGAATGAGGGAGTGAGCAGGGCGGAGTGCCTGGCCTCAGCCTGGCTCTGGAAACTCACCAGCCACCAGGTCATCTGCCCCGGGCAGGCAGGCGTGGGCCACCTGGGCCATTTGCAGGTTATGTCCCCACCCCCTTTCTCCCATAACATGTAGGATCGCCCTCCTGCAGGGCCGGCTCTTTGTGCTCCTGTAACTCCAGACCCTTCACCTTCTCCTCCCCCATCTCAGAGGACAGCAGAAGCACTTCCAGTTCCCCTTGGAAAAGCTCCCTTACACCTGGCCTGCCTGGCTGGTGTGGCTCAGTGGTTGAGCATCGACCCAGGCACCGAGAGGTCACCAGTTTGATTCCTGGTCAGGGCATGTGCCCGGCCAGCCAATCAATGTTGATGTCCCCCCCCCCCTCTCTCCCTCTTCCTCTCCCCCTCTCCCTTCCTCTTTCTAAAATCCATAAAAACCTATAAAAACCATATTTAAAAAAATGAAAAAGCCCCTTCGCTTGTCCTGGGAGCTTTACACAGAGCCCCAGTTTACACTGAGTCAAGGCAACTGGTGGATCTGACAATATTTTTTAAAAATCCCAATAGTCATATATGCTCAATGCAGAAAAATCATAAGATGCAGAGGGGAAAACAAAATCCTCTCCTAATTCCGTAACATAAAAACAACCAGTGTTAACATGGTAACACTGGGGGGCTGTGTCCTTCAGCCATATATGTACGTGTGTGTGTTTTCCCCAGAGGAATCACACTGCACGTACTCACCTCCTCCTGGCCACTGCGGCCCGAGGGGCCCATGAAGTCCTGGGGTGGGGGTGGGGGTGGCCCTGTGTTCTCAGACCAAATGGAGAGGGAACAAGGCCAGGGGCTCGGGAGGCCGGCTTGCCTTCCCAGGCAGGACTTGCAGCCAGCTCAGGGCTTTCCCCAGGGGCTGCCCTCGCAGACTCTCCGTGGGCAATGCTGACGCTCTTCCTGGGCTGCAGAGAGAGAGATGACCTCCACAAGGCACACCCCGCTTGGGGGTGGGGTGGGGTGGAGGCTATTTTTAGCCACTCCAGCCCCTGGAGCCTTTGATTCCCAAGTCTGAGCGAGGCCATCCTGTTCCAAGTCACATAGCCCCACGGAGGCGGGAAGCGGGGCGGCATCCAGGCTACGGTTCCAAACCCCAGCTGCGCACCGACCAGCCTTGGGAGACCCTCAACCTGCCATGTGACCTGCCTGATCCTTGGTTTTCTCATCTGTAAAATGGGGATGACACCACCAACAACTTCTCCAAAAGCACGTGGAGCTGAAATGGCAACAAAGACCCAGTCAGGAGCTTGATGTTGTTAGAAGGGAAGTCCAGCCCCAAGGTCAAAAACAAACCAAGGACACAAGAGCAGGACAGAAGCGATGTGACAGGAGATTGAGGTGTTCCGTTCATTTCTAGCTTAATGTGAGATTCCCAAACATGCTGGTCAAATCTGGTTTAATATTCAGAATACATATAGAACTTCTAAAACTCAACAACAAAATCTCATTTTAAAATAGGTGAAAGAATTGAATAGACAGTTTTCCAAAGAGGACATAATATGGCCCATGAGCACAAAGAGATGTTCAATGTCACTAACCATCGGGAAAATTCTAATGAAAACGACGATGAGATACCACCTCACACCCATTCGCATGGCTACTAACAAAAAACCAAAGAACAAAAAGTGTTGGCGAGGATGTGGAGAAATGGGAAGCCTTGTGCGCTGTGATGGGAATGTAAAATGGGACAGCCATTCTTGAGAACAGTATGAAGATTCCTCCAAAAATTTAAAATAGAATTACCATATGATCCAGCAAGTCCTCTTCTGGATAGATTCCCAAGAGAATTGAAGGCAGGGTCTTGAAGAGACAGTTGTACACTGATGGTCATAGTAGCCAGCGGGCTAGGGTTTATCTTAAAAAATTGAGCTCAGCTGGTGTGGCTCAGTGGTTGAGCGTCAACCTATAAACCAGGAGGTTATGGTTTGATTCCCGGTCAGGGCACATGCCCAGGTTGCGGGCTTGATCCCCAGCATGGGGGCGTGTAGGAGGCAGCCGATCAATGATTTTCTCTCAACATTGATGTTCCTGTCTCTCTCTCTCTCTCTCTCTCTCTCTCTCTCTCTCTCTCTCTCTCCCCAACTCTCTGAAATCAACAGAGAAATATTTAAAAAATATATATATATTAAAAAAGCATAAGACAGAGGACATGAAAGGATGTCCCTGGCATATTGATTTTTTATTTTGTTAATCCTCAGCCAAGGATATTTTTCCATTGATTTCTAGAGAGAGTGGAAGGAAGAGGGAGAGACAGAGAGAAACACTGATGTGAGAGAGACGCATAGATTGATTGCCTCCTGCACACGCCCTGACCAGGGCTGAGGAGCCTGCAACCGAGGTGCGTGCCCTTGAGTGGAATCGAACCCGGGACCCTTCAGTCCGAGGGCTGATGCTCTGTCCACTGAGCCAACCCGGCTAGGGCTCCATGGCATAATTTTTGAACGAGAGAAACAAATTTCACAAATGCAGCATTCATTTGATCCACAGATATTTTCAGTGTCTGCCATGTACCAGGAGCTGGGAACACAGCAGCCGTGAATGAAACAGGAGGGGTTAGAGTCCCTTCCCATGTACAGTCCGTCTACAGAAACACGTGTGTGCGTGAACAACAGGTCTCCTCTGGAAAGGAAACTCTGGGCGAGGGTCCTGGGAGAGGACGCGCTGCCGTGGGAGTGACGGGGATGGGCCCTTTGCCTTGGGTGGTCTCAGCTTGCTTTATTTTTTCAACGAGTATTTCTTATTTCTGCTCAAAAAATGAACTAAGGGACAGTTATCGGGCCAAGTTTTCTATTATGTCTAATCCCAATTCCTCATGATGAAACCACACCATCCACAAAACAGAAAGAAGGAAGGGAGAAAAAGAGGGAGGAAGGAAGGAGAGATTGGGGGGAGGGGGGAAGAACGGAGGGAAGGAAAAGGGGAGAAAAAGGAAGATCAAGCTGATTCATGTGGACTTAGAGGAGCCAGAGCCTGGGGGGCATTTAGCCAAGCCCCTCGGGGCAGCCGCTGCAGACACAAATCCTGGCACCCAACCCCCAGCCTGCTCAGGGCAGGTGGCCAGGGACCTACTGTCCGCAAGCCCAGTCACAATCAGAAGAGGCGGACGATGGGTAAACAAGAGAAGTGTCAGGCCAGGGTTCTCTCCGACCCCGGGTGGCGACAGGCACAGCCACCAGCCTCATTTCTACACCCAGATGCGTCTCCCTCACTTATAACCATTTTGGCTCAGAGCCTGGTCTTCCCGAGCCCCTGGAACCTGCTGATTTATTTGAGAGGTTCTGCAGTCTGAGGAAGTGGGAGGAAGTCCCAGGTGGCGTATTTCTGCCAGGGTGGTCCCCAAGATGAACGTGTGGTGGTTCATTCCTTCTTTGCCCTGAATTTGCTACCTCTGCGCTTGCCTTTCTGTCTCTGGGGCTGATGCTTTGTGGCTGTGGGGCCCTGGGCCCCTGGGCCCTGTCATCTCAACCTCGTGGACTAAATTCCCCTGATAAATACTGTCTCAAAATTGCAAACCTGGCTAACAGGCTGTCCGGGAACACGGCCCAGGAACAAACAAAACAAGCTTGTGTCGTCTCGTTTTTCTCCCGGTGC